ATGTCGCCCCTTTTAAAGCCAGGCCCGGTCTTTGTCTTCTCTCCAACCCCTGCATGATTCAATCGTTTTACTTCGCTATTTACGACATCATAATGGAAACCGACTGAAAATGTCTTTGAACGTTAACAAAGACTAAATATTAAACTTTTCGTCATTGAAAACAATTTATATTGCCGTATTAACCAGCTTCGCCATTCACTTCCTTAACTAGGAAACATGCGAAACACAAACTCTGTAAGAAAGTACTTAAGGTGATGCTGAATTTTAGTTGCTAAATCAAAGTGTTTAAGTTTTTTGTTTTTTCATATTTGGTCACCTTGATCCTCAGATTTTTATTAATTATTCTAGAAACATTTATCTGGACTCGTGTTTTTTTGTTAGGTTGGTAGCTTATGCCAGTTTGACTTGGAATTTTTAGTATTTAAAAATGGTACTTCTGCTTAAGAATATAATTAAATACTTTAAAACTGTCAAATTGACAATATTATTTATGATTGATAATTTACTTGTCAATTATAAATAAAAAGATAATTATGCCAAAAATAATAGCAACGAATTCGAATGTAAAAGCCCTTTTCAGGGCAAAACTTCATTTTGATAAAATTATGCCAAATGCCACAATGGAAGAAAAAGTACATCGCCTTATGGACATTTTGGAGTAAAAAAGTAACGAATTTGGTTTTATAAATATTACATCACACATTATTTTCACATTTTCACCATTGGACAACATTTACGTTTACAAAAAATTTTAATTTCTTTTATATAAATTCTTTTCAAAGCGAAGATTATCCGCTAGGAATACTTTCTCTTCTGGGCCGTAAAGCGACCTATATTTAACTACTTTTTTATATGATTTTACTCATCCAAGCACCACCAAAGCCAAATTAATTGCATTTTTAACTACGAATTTGGACAACTCAACTTGACAACTGCACAATGTAACCTACAATAATTTATACATAACCACAATTAGATTTATAACTAGCTTAGTTTGTTTTAATCAATGCGACCAACTTGACAACTATATTTACCAACCAAAACCCTAAATTTGCAACGTTGCCGCAGTCCAGATAAAAAAAGAACTTTATGTCAATGGATTGTATTAATAAAATTATTATTATTATTATTATTATTATTATTATTATTATTATTATTATTATTATTATTATTATTATAAACTGACAACAGTGTGTTAATTTTTTAATAATTAATCGATAGTTTCAAAGTGTATAATCACAAATGTATTTTTTTTAAATGGCGCATGTGTTGCTTTTGTACATCTATGTCACCAATTACTAAGAGAACTGTACGTATTCTGTTTATTTAGAACAACTTATCACCAACATAACCTGAAAACCGTGCTGAAATTGCAGCGCAATACTAGATTGCGAGGTTGCCGCTATTCCAATTTCTTCCCAACTGCTGAACAATTAAAAAAAAAATGCCCCCCACTCAGTTGAAGTGTTCTTGTTGTGATGAGGTCGGTGATGATGGCAAGTTTGTAAAATGTAAAATCTATTAAAAATAAAACTAATATTACTTTGACATGTAAAACTTGTTTTAATATTGGAAATAATCTCAATGATAATTATTTCTTTACAAGTCGAAATAGAAAAATTAAAATAATTAACGCTTACCCCTCAAAAAATGAATTTGACTTTGAAGATGTTATTCAGGAGCTTTCTGAAAGAAACCGTCGTAAGCGCAATCTTATTTTCTATGGAATTAAAGAAAGTAATTTTTTATCTTTCTACCACAATTTAACCAATGTTAACTGGTCTTTTTTTAAAGACATTCAAGACAAAAATGTTGAGTGTAGTATGGTTTACGAAAGATTTTATGATATTCTAGATTTATATGTACCGAAATTTAAACAAAGAGCATGACTATTATGAAAATTAATAATTCTATCCCTATTAAATCCAGCTTCGTCGGTAAAAATAATTTTTTCAATATAGTTGGGGTCTTCATACCATTTTTGTCTTAAGCAGAGATTGTAAATGATAAAGGAAGGAGAAGGGATAGTTGTTCCTGCATTATTTCTCAAACTGTACTTTTTGGAACGTTTTTGTAACAAAGCACCTTTTCCGAGCTTCATATCTATAGCCTGAACTTCCAGAGGATGAGACTAGCAGACATCACAGACCAAAATAAAATCATTTGAGAAAAAAAAGATATGTCGTTTTGAAAAAGAACGAACTTTTTGGTCGCGAAACATTGAGTGGTGCGCAGTTTATTTAAAATTGAAAACGACTATTTTATTAGTAAAAAATGCTGGTACTAATTAAAAAGTAGAATTTTGACTAGGTATTTCATTTTAAGAGAGTAAACAAATAAAATAAAACGCCACACAAATTACCCAATTGCCTGAATTTGATTAATGAACCGAAACGAAAATTATTTAAAAACAATTCAGTTTTGCGAAACAATTTAAAAGTGCATCGCTGGCAGATAGAAATGGAGCGTAACGCGAGCAACTATAACTTTTAATTGAAAACGCCTACAAATCATCAAATGGTGTGTTTGCTAACGAGTTCATAGTCACGGAACGAAACGTGAAGGTATTTTGTGTTTGCTGGTGTGGCCTTCGTATTGAGTTTCCTTCGCTACGTAAAATGATCTCACAATAAATATTTGGCTGAAGCATACTTTTTTAATGGTAAATTTATTTTTTGCTAGGTTGGCATGGATTAACGAGACCTTTTGTGTTCGCGAATTGTTGTTCGAGAACATAATTAAAAGCTTTCCATCATGTAATATCGGTCTATAGTCTATAGAGTTAACGTGATAAATAGAAAATTTATTAAAAATGTTCTCAAGTCAATAAAAATAGCTTAAGTTTAATTAGACAGTTTTATATATGCAGTTAATGGTACCATTTTTTAAAAGTTAAAACTAACTTAAGAAGGTTCGGGCACGATTATTAATCGCCATGAAAAATTCTAGTTTGTAGTAGAGTCTACGTAAAAGACATTTACAAAGTTTTAGAAAGATTGACCGTCTGGTTTTCGAGTAAAAAATTATTAAAGTTGCTAATACTATACCCTGTTTAAAATATCTGTGGTGTAAAGAGTAATCTTAAAATGGTGTTTATATAAAAACCATGAATTATGGTTGAAAATGTTATATACAGCAAACACCAAAACGGTGTTTATCTAAAAATATTTGAGAAGAAACAGAACAGAAAAAAAGGAATAGTTCATTTAACTATATTAATTTAGTTGACCCATAAGTATTTATTTAAATCAACGTGGGAAGGTTAATATAAACAAAGATTAGTTTGACGGTACTAAACTTATAGTTATTTTATTTTTTTTTAAATTGGTTAAATTAACCCAGAAGACTTTAGTGAAACCAACCTGCTGTATGGTTCAGTTTACTAAATATGTTGTTTGTAAAATAAGAGTTACTTCAACCTGAAGCACTCTGTTAAAACGATTAAAACAATTTGCCGTGCATTCCTGGTTGCATAGTGTGTACCGATCGCGGCAAAGGCGGGGTGGATCACGTCATGTTCTTAAATCTCGCCTCTGTTGATTTACATGAAGAGTATATAAGCTCAGGTAGTCCTTTGCTTTGGTGTGACACTACAAGTAGTTCGATACTAAAGAAACCTTAAATAGGTGGAAACAGCTGTCAATATTTTAAGTTGGTGGAACGCACTAAAAACATTATCTCTAGCGAGTTGAAGGTTCAATTTTCTGGAATAAAACCACTGGTAATATACTAGTAATGCGTCAAGGAACTTCCTGTTTCCTTTTTTTCCTTTTTTTCTGTGTAGTATGATTTAATTTGACCAAAAACACACAATATTTAACACTGAAAAGGAGTTCAATTTACACCAGGTAAAATTTATTTCAATACTGTGTGAAAGTTAAATTTACACTATTTTAGTATTTGAATTTACACCGGACCAACGAACTATATTTAACCCATAGGTAGTAGAAAAAATATATTTTTTCTACGACCACTATGTAAAAGTCACTTTTGATGATGGCATCGTTGCTTAGAAAATGAATCTTTTCATTGGCAAGGCAAAACACGAATGTAAAGTGACATTTGTGTGTAAAAAGTGACAGGTCTGTATGAAAAGAAATTGACAGCATCCTTTGACATTCAGCTGTCAAAAATGTTTTTAGGTTATTTTGTTTTGTATTTAAAAATAATAAAAAATAAAAGGGTCGCAGAAAAAACATTGTGTTATACTTGTGAGAAAAGCTTTCTTCAAGCTCGTGTTAATGCACACTCGGCCTAACGGCCTCGCGGGCAACTTAAAAACTCGCTTTTCAACACTTGTAAAACAAATAACTATTGTAATTTTCCTAAACTGAGTTGAAATTAATTGTATAGTATAATTACAATACACCATTTTAAAATTACTACATATTTAGTATTTATTTAGCAAAATTACAATACTTGTTACTGAACAATTTTTTAATAAATGCTTGGTGAATTTCAAGAAACGTTTTGTAATTTTCCCAAATTGAGTTGTAATGAATCAAATAGTGAATTTACAATTACTTATACTGTGGTGCGTAAAAACTTCCTAAACATGTTTAATAAAATTACAAAAGAAATGTTTAACAGTAAAAGATACATGTATCTTTTACTTAAATTACACATTTTTAAAATTTAATAAATGTTTTCTTGATATTTTCTTGTATCATAACGTCCATCAGTAAACTATTATCTTTTATTGTTGAGCAGTGTAGATGAGCATTGCTAACCAATCCTGCAAATATTACCACTACTATACTTCTTAATAGAAATTCGTTATTCTAAATCTAGACACATGAGTGAGATTCGTAACTACATTCATTTGTTACAAGCCCCACACAGGATAATAAAACCTCTTAAAAACACTTTTAAAGTGAACATGTACAACCTTAACCTTACCTATACTTAACTTTAAAAAATAATCAATTACATGAAGGGAATCTGTTTTGTTCAGTACATTTAAAGATCATTTTACTATGCGATCGGTATTTTTGTTTCAGGTATCTTGGGTACGTCACAGGGACATTCATCTCCTAACGGTTGGTAGATATACGTATACGTCCGATCAAAGGTTCGAAGCAATTCATACGCCTCACACCGAAGAATGGTCTTTACAGATAAGATATCCACAAATTAAGGATTCCGGGATATACGAGTGTCAGATCAGCACCACTCCACCTGTGGGCCATCCAGTCTATCTCACTATAGTCGGTAAGTTTAAAAAAAAAGTTAATTATTTTTTTTTCCATATTTCGATACTTCTCCATTTTAAAATAAAAATAAATCTTTTATAACTTTTATATTGCTGCTTTACACTTCAATATCAAGAAAGAATCAAGGAGTTTTAAAAGTCTCGTAATTGGTAAAATTGAAAAGATCAAGCAATAAATAATTGAAGTGGTTATATAAAACGTATTTCGAATTTTCCAGACTGTTGTTGAAAATTTTCAAAGAAAGTTTATTAAACGTTTTTGTGTATCTAAGAGGTTTCTGTGTGGGTAAGAGTTTGCGAATTTAATTTACTTTTTCTTCTCCCACCTTTAAAACGCCCATTATCGTACATGTTTCCACGACCTTTTAGTTTATATGAACTTTGAACTGACATTTTAATTTCGCCGGCAGTAAACTAGACTTAACTCATTTTCGGGTGAAGACTCCATCGCAGATTACCTTGGTTACCCTTTTGTATTATAGATGTCGCTCTATACAAATATTTAATTTAAATCATTTTTAGATAATAAGTATTTGTCGTAGAAAAATTATAGTATGCAACTCGTGTATAAACTTTTCTAAATTCGTGTCTAAAATTAGATTATTAAATATTAAAATACAAATACATTTAAAGACCGTGTTATATTGGAAATTTTATTTTTATAAGACAATTCATAATATTTTTTGTAAAATTTTCCAAAATGGCGTCAAATTGCCAAAATGTCACATATCTTCGGTGGGAAGTGGGGTCATGTGACACATCATTAAAAAGGTCTCTGCAAGCTAATCACAAACAACTACTTATTTTTTAAACTCTATACAGGGTGTGTCCGATATTAAATCCAAAAAAATCGCATTTTATAAAATGCGATTTTATATATCAAAAATGAGTACCTACAATTTTCAACGTTTAATTTTATTTTAGAAATCGGTAAAATATCAAGGAGTAGTCGGATTTTCCTAAAAATCCGTATATAGAGGTTTTTGGGGTCGCTGATAACGAATTTGGAATCAGAATTCCAAAATTCAAAATGGTAGATCCAAAATGGCGGAGATATTTGTCAAAAAATTGACGGAATAAATTAAAAATCACCATACAGGAGTTTTTGTGGTCGCTGATAATGAATCTGTAATCAGAATTTCAAAATTCAAAATGGTGGACCTGAAATGGCGGACATTTTTATCAAATATTTTTGAAATTGATTAAAAACCCATAAGAGGTTTTTTTAAAATGTAATAAAACATCTTTTTATAAAATAGCTTAATTTAATTTATTATAATTACATTTATATGATATTATTTAATACATACATATATATTAAACAATCTCCGTCACTGGATTTGCTCGTTGTATCATTAGCAAAGCATGGGAAACCATCAGAAGATAGCAACAGTTTTATTGCTTCGCGGGACAAAGATTTGCTCTTTTTCTGAGCAATTTTTCTGAAGCTAGAAATATATGGATCGGAAGATGCCAGAAACTTTCAAAATTTATTTATAAAATCTAAATATAACAGATTTTATATTAAGTATTTTTTAAATTTGTATTATTTCTTTTACTTAATATTTTAGCAACGATTTCTTAATTCGCTGAAAAATTGTCAACACAAATAACCACAATTCAAATTTTACATTAACACACAATTAACATACAATGCGCATGCGGAGTTGTTTTAACGCACCTACAAGAGGTGTTGACATATATGTAAAATCGGTGTTAAATATCTTAGTAGTCACGAACGATTTACGCAAGTGAAAGTCTAGACACCGCTGTTGTAATACACGTTTTGAGTTAAATCCGAGTGAATCAAGTAAACATCATGAACGCAACCCAGAAATAAAAAAAAATCTTATATTTTGTAAAGCAAAAACACAGATAAGCCCTCGACATAGGCTTAAAATCGCGAGGTTTTTTACCACAACCGTGCCTGAGCGCCCAAGAACACGTAGTTTTAAAGAGCCGGGGGCAAGTTGGGCAGATAATTTATTGATGGCTTGATAGACAAAACTCTAAGCTATTCAGCGGATCTTAAACTGATGCCTTACAATTCATTACAATTTTTGTAGCTCCATTGTTCTAAAAGCTCAATTCAAAGTTTGCGATTTTAACAGACCGATCTTGCGGTTACAATAACCCGTTGTTCAAGCAAAATCTACGAAAAACAAATACATATCTGAATTTTAGATACCTTAAAGATCACCCTTCATCAAACCGCATATATGCTATTGTTATAACAATCGGACACACCAAAGACAAGTTATTCACTTTTAAACAATAAACAATTTTCCGCAGCGATCGCGTGTAAAGTACCTTCAACTGAAAGCGTCAAGTTTAAACTGATGTACAAGACAAAATATACGTATTTTATATAATTTTTTTTCAATACTGGATGGAGACAGGTATTAACTACCCATTTAACTCAAAATTTATCTGAAAAAAAATGTAAATTTTTGAGGTTTTGCCGATATTTTCCAGAATTGAAACAATGTGCGGCAGTAAACTAGATATAACTTAATTATATATTATAACCATCATGGCCCATTTTTGATTATTTTGCTGAAAAGTGGTCATTTTTGACTACTATGAATCGCTGTATCTTCGTTGATGTTCATTGGATTTGTACAAAATTTTCAGGGTATGCTAACAAAAATACGGTCTTAAACAGCATATTTTTTATTTAAAAATTTCCCTAAAAGTTATTTTTCGAACGTTTTTCATTATTAAATAAAAGCGCTTTAAAAATATTTTCTCGAAAAACCCTCGAACACGTAAACTGGGTATAAGTTGAAGTATTTTTATCCAAAATTTCATAAAGAATAATAAAGGCGTTTTAGAGTTAGATTTTTCTTACAGTAGTTGCAAAAATTATGGCCAACACTGTATATGAATTAAAATACCCTTTTATTGTAAACACTGTAATAAGATCATGGCCATGTAAAATACGAAATTAAAAAAAATCATTTAAATACATAACACACAAAGGCAAACGTACAGTCGCCATCTCGCTGAAAATAAATCATCCCTCCATCCGCCGAGGGGTGGAACGCAAAAAGTTTTTATTTATTCAGAACGAAAATATGATATATAACTTAATGACGAGCCGCTCTCAAATGAAAAAACTCTTTTATGTCATATATGGAAATTTCATTATTTCCAGCCACACGCTGGATTTTTACATTAAAAAGTTACACTGGTCGACTGACATTTACCGAATTTGATAATGCTAATAAATAACGCTATCTAATGGGAGAAAATTATTTTAAATTAAAAATAGCTTATTTAACTTTTTTAATATTTATATTTATAAATCAGGGTCATAAGACCTGTACATGGTTACGCTTATCGCTGTTAACAGAGGCAGTAACAGTTCTATATGCAGTATTATTTAAAATCTTAAAATGAGTTGTAAAAACGAATGAAGTCCAGTAGATAAAAATAAAAAAAGAAATAAGGACAAAAAATAAATAAACAGAAAACATGCAGTATGTTGAATGTAGCGAAACTCTAAAGAGAAGAGCAGAAAACAAAGAGAAGGAAACTATAGAAGGTAGATGGATTGTTTAAATTTTTTTGTATTAAACTTATATTAAACTTATATTAAATAACTTAATTAAATTTTAAAAACGAAATTATTGGAGTCCCCGAATAAATCAAACCAAATATCCCTAGATCTTCCATACGAGAATGACAGATTGATAATTTTTGTTGGCACCGTCAAAATGATCGTTTAATATTATTATTGCAAAACTGTGCGGTGAAAGTTAATTAATTTTTAATGTCACGTTATAAGATATGCATTAATTAAAGACAAGGGCTGTATAGGAGATCTATTTAATTAACGCATATCTTATAACATGACAATAAGAAATCGATTTTCTCTTTTTTTAAGTGCATATTAAACCAGTAGAAGTGGAATATAAATTTATGTTAACATTCACAATACAGTTTGGCTTTAATAAACGATAACAATCCATCTAGTCTTAGCAACTTCAGAATTTTTTCAATATTTTCTCATAGCGACTAATATCGCCTTAATTGCTGGACATGCTTTGAGCATCATTCAGAACCTCGTAATTAGTGGAATAAATTAGTGGTTTCAATTATACTTATAATCAACACAAAACAATCATTCACAATGTGCAAAATTAACATCTAAAATTAATGGAATATGTTAAAAGATCGTTCCTTCTTGACCTGAAAAAAATTAATTATATTGGAATAATAATTTTTTACAACCATTATAGGTAATATTATTTATATATACTTGTTTAAATTTGACATCAAATGTCCTCGCATATGCTTAAAGGCGCTTTCCAATTATAATTAGTTGCAAAAGTTTGGAGTTTGTAGGTACTCCTAACTTTTTCCACTGATTGAAAAGTATCACTAATATTTTTTTGGTTGTGAATAACACTGTGTAAGACATACTTTTACGTTAATTGAAACCACTAATTACGAGGTTCTGAATAAGCCTTTATGGTATTATTGGCAAATTATTTTGATGAAAAAATGCATTTGAAGACACTGACGAATTGCGGCGGAGATCTAATTCATCAACGTATTATCTCCGCATCTCGGTAAATCCCCGAAAAAATTGTTTTGTATTTAAACTAACTTATATACGATACTGCAAAAATATATTTATATAATTTTCATTCATATAGGTATCAAAATGTATTACTGAGTAGTACTGATAATTATATTGTACCAAACTTCTTTATATTTGGTGATTTCAGAATGGTGTGTTATTTAATTGTGTGTATGTTATTTTTGTGTTAATTTTTTTGTTTAGGAAATTGATTAATAAAGCAACATTTCTTATCAAAATTAATTTTATTTAAGTTTTTAATTTCCAACAAATACTTTTGTTACTGGGTCTACAAAAAGGTTTGGAAAAATAAGGTCCTTTTTGAAAATTACAAGAATTTTGGTTGAATTATTGACTTAGGATTTTGTTATTAACTCTACAAAATGTTTGTTATTATTACATATAATTACA